ATTAATACCAAGCATTAATAACTTTATGGACGTCCAAAGTGATAAAGTTCGTGACTTTATGGATCCTAGGCATGTTAGGCCTCTGGATCTGAGGTTTGGGATTAAGTGCTTAAGCCATTAAGCACTTAATAAGGTTTTTACAAACTGTAGAGTACGCCCAGCATAAATCCAGTACGCCCAACGTACTGGGTCATCCACCCCGATGGTGGTCAACGACTGGACGAGTACGCCCCACGTACGCCCTCTGTTGGGCCTTTGACAAATGGACTTCGGATTTTGGGCTGTTTATGGACTAAATGGAATTGGTCCGTTGCTGGACTCTGTAAATAAAATGTTTTGGGCCAAGTAGTGATAGTGGATCATGGGGTTAGGCCCAATTAGGAGGTTAGGCCCAATTTAGTAAATTGGGCCAATAGTGGATTTTATATTAAGACTTTCAAGTCAAGGACTTGGTATTGGGCCTTGGCCCAATAAAGAGAATGGACTTAATGAGGAATGTGGACACTTAGTCAAGGGAGTTATGTCGGGTATTAACCTAGTATTTATTATGTGTCAGTTCGGGATTTCCGGTGAGACAGCAGTCAGAGAGTTACAGTATTCAACACTACTAGCGAGGAGAGTTATCCTCACTATATCAACAGGGTCTAAGGCACCAAGGCTGGCCCTTTATGGATTTGTATCCGGATTATTACATGATATGTTTATTGTTTTGCATCCTGGTAGTTAGGATGGTGATATGCTTATGCTTAGTGACCTGGTCTGGTCGGTATCCTGGTTATAGGATTATGTTATGTTAGAGACCTGGGTAGGTCGGTGTCCTGGTTATAGGATGTTGCTATGCTATTTGATCTGCTAGATCAGTTTGACTGTTATTATGATAGCGTATGATATGTATGTGCACATGTTTGTTTGATTGGGGGGGTGGGTTGAGGCGGTCGTGCTTTGTGCTGAAGGCCAACATACCCAGGGCCCCCCGGATAGACTACAATCCCAAAAGGGTATGGTAGTCAGACCGAAGGCCCGGCGAGCGGTCCGGATAAGCTGAAGGCCCTGAGAGGCGGTCCAGACATGCCGAAGGCTCGGAGAGCGGTCCAGATAGACTGAAGGCCTGTGTGGCGGTCCAGTCAGGCTGAAGGCTCATGATGCATGCTGTTATATATTTGTTGACATGATATGACTATGGTTATATGAGGTTGGTATTTTGGGGGTAGCTTACTAAGCTTTCGGGCTTACAGTTTCAGTTTGTTGTTTTAGGTACTTCAGGTGATCGCGGGAAGGCGAAGGCATGATCATACCGCTCCTCCTGCTGTTATGATTTTATGATTTGATATTGGGATACTCTGATAACTATTATTTTGAAAACAAATTATGTAATGTTAAATGATTTTAATTGTTTTGAAAAAGTTTAAAATTGGCTTGAATTTTATGGGTGTTACATTAAGCTTTGTTCTTACGGTTTCTATGGTTATGGTTTCAGGTATTTCCGTTTCGAAAAGGAAGGGCCCGACTTGATCGCAGCGCATCCACCCATGTTTCCGCAACTTGATGATTTTGGGATTGTACTCTGATAATTGTTTTAATATGATATACTTTTGAATGTTTGGAATAAGATAATTGGTGTTTTGCTTGAATTAAAAATGAAAACTTTACCTTATAATTTTTGGGACGTTTCAGTCTCTCTCATAATCTTCTTTCTACATCTACACAAACATAAATACTCATTCATATGATTATAATACATAGAATCGTATTCTATCTTCTCTTAGGTATTTAACAAATACCATTTTCATCTAACCATAAATACTTTATGTATACACACATGCTCTGATACATGTTCTAAATGTATACTTCTTTCATTCTCTAAATATATACGCATGCTCCAATACATGCTTTTAAACATATATTCATAATCTGTCTTTATCTAGTAACTTGAAGGCATTCACTTAGTGCCTCAAGATCACACACACACACACACACACACACACACACACATATATATATATATATATATATATATATATATATATATATATATATGTGTGTGTGTGTGTGTGTGTGTAGGGCTGAGTTGTTGTGAGAACTAAAAAAAACGTGCGAACTTACGAACTCATAACCAACTCATCATTTTTTAACACCAAAACCACCAATATTCTTCAGATGGTGTGTCTAAGCCATATCCAAGCTCAAAAAAAAGATTTGACAAGTTTTTTTTTTTTATTTTCAAATTTTGCATGCATGCACAATCAGCAGTGCTGATGAGCACAATCAGCAGTCATATAGACTGCGGATGTGCACAATCAGTAGCCATATGGACTGCTGATGAGAAATCAACAGTCCATATGACTGCTGATTGTGCTCATCAGCAGTCCATGTGACTGTTGATTGTGCTCATTAGCAATTCGTACAACTGCTGATTTTGCTCGTCAGCAGTCATACAAAGAAACCAAAAAAAGCAATCGTCAAAAATCAGTTTTTTTTAGCTTAGATATGGCTTAAACGTACCATTTAGAGAAGATTGGTGTTTTGGTGTTGAAAAATGATGAGTTGATTATGAGTTCGCAAGTTCTCACAAATCTTTTGGTTCTCAAAAGAACTTGGCTCTCTCTCTCTCTCTCTCTATATATATATATATATATATATATATATATATATATATATATATATGATAAACATACATACATAATCTAATGAGATAGAGAAAGAGTGTGTGTGTGTGTGTGTATGTATGTGTGTGTGATATAACCCACCTAGTTGGTTAGTGAAGAGTAACTACCATTAGTGTCATTCTTTGATTGATGCATCTTGTTTTTTCTTCTTTTCTCTTAGGTCTATTCATACACATAATCAAGCTTCTTAAAACTTATCTTTGCCTATTAAGAGCTTAATGACTCTCTTTGTCAAAATGTCCACTTAATGGAACATATTTCTAACTTCTCATTTTCTACTTCTAAATCTAACCAAACAAATGAATTAAGCATCACATATTACCTAATTCATTACAATATAATATATTATATCAATCATTAATCCCATTTAGGGTTTGAAACCCTAACTTCATATATATGGATTTCATATAGAGATTGTTCAAAGCTCCTAAATACTATCAATGACATCAATAACAAGCTTCCTAAGAGTAATCTTTCATTTCTAGTTCAATTACATAAATCTCCATTAAATCCCTAAAAGCTCAAGGATGAAGAAGATGATTACCTTAGGAGCTTTCAATGTTCAATCCAAGCCCAATACACCCAAGAACCCCTCTTTACCCTTCTTAAGCCTCCAAATCGTCGGAGCTTGGTTGTGGGGGGTTTGGGTTCCTTGTGACGAGAATGAACCAAGCTGATCTATTAATCAGTTTTGATTCCACGTTGTATTGGAGAAGGGATATGTTGTTTAGGAGCTTTGAATGCCATATCCCTAAATTTCATTTCTAGTTCAATGACATATCCCTAAATTTTAGTTTTTACACCAATCCCCAAACAATATGGCATCATCGTCGTATTGGAGAAAGGAGATGTTGGGCTAGAGTTCGGCTAAGAAATCCCACGAAAAATCCCTTTTTATAATGCTTCATCCATCTCCACTTTAAGACCTTTAACGACAATAATAAAGAGAAAGGGAAAGAGGTGATCACCTTGTCTAACACTTTTCTCTATAAAGAACTCCTTGGTAGGTGTTACAAGAACTGACACCCTAAAAGAGGAAAGTATATACCAAATCCAAGATCTCCAAGTAATGCCAAAAGCCATTTACCACATAACATCGTCTAAGAAGGTCTAACTTTGCGAATCGAAGGCCTTATCAAAGTCCACTTTAAATAACATCTTTTTCTTTTAGTTTTTTGGCCCAAGTAGTGATCTCATTAACAACTAAAGGATCATCCAGAATGTTTCTACCATTAACGAAAGTCATTTGATCACTACTAACCACTGATACAATGACCTTTTTGAGAAGACCAACAAGGGTCTTAGAGATAATTTGTGTGATGCATCCAAAAAGGTTGATCTGCCTATAGTCTGCTAAATTAAGCGGGTCTTTCATTTTAGGGACAAGAAAGATAAAGGAGGCATTACTACTCGGGTTAAGCACCTTGTATTCTTCAAAAACATTGACTGCTTCAATGATGTCGTGACCAATTGTATCCCAATAAGTTTTTATGAAATTAAACGAGAACACATCTAGACCAAGGCATTTGTCATTCCCACAACCCCATACTGCTTCTTTAATTTCATCGGTAGTGAATGGTGCCTCAAGACTATAACAGTCATTGTGAGAAAGAACCCGAAATTTATTGCTCATGTGGTGAGGTCTACATTGATGCAACTCTTTGAACTTAATCTTGAAGAAAGTGTAAGTCCCATGTTTGATTTTGACTGGCTTGGTGACCCAAACCCCACTTATGTTCAACCCTTGGATGCGGGAACGTTTGACATTCATATTAACAAGTCCGTGGAAAAAACTTGTATTCTCGTCCCCTTCAAGCACTCACTTGCACCTTGCTTTTTGTCTAAAGTTGAGCTATCTACGTTGTTCCATTCAAGCAACGGTGGATTATAACTCGATAGTTGTTTATTCAAACGGTGTTCTTAATTTATAACCTCTCCTAAAACCTTGATCATAGACACCTCTTCAATCCCAAATATACTCACACTTGTAACTTTAAATCAAAGACTAAGTTAGTCCTAAATTTAGTCATGGATAAAATAGTACAAACATCATAATTTAGTCATTTGCCCATGTTCACATTAAATTAATATCTCCTCAATAACTTGGAATACGACAGAAGTTCAAAATGGATCCCATGTTCACATTAAACCTCAATGATCTACCACAAAGCAATTGAGTGTTGTTTTATGCAGTAAAAAAACGTAAATAGACCCTCCGTTTTTATAAGAACCAAGCTTTTGGTTGGCTATAATTCATGCTAAATAATTTTCTAAACGATTACACCTTATATCGCTACTCTCGATAAAATTTATTTACAATAAATCATATATCAATCAACCCCACATGATCAAGATGCAATCTGTTGAGAAAAAACTCAAAGTTAAAAATGTTAGACATATTACACAATTATAAATACAATACAATGCTAAAGGACTATAGAATAAAATGGGCTAACTATACAATGGGCCAACTTAAATGCTAAAATACATACACATGCAATACATGTTAGACGTATCATGTATTGTACATGTATGTATTTTAGCATTTAAGTGTGGCCCATCGTAAAGTTAGCTCACTTTATTCTAGCTCTTTAGCACTGTAATGTATTTATATTTTTGTAATACGTTTAACAATAAACACTGAAATAAGTCGCACCTGTTTCAAACATGGGAATCAACCAAACGGTGTAATTAAACACCGCCAAGGAGGATAGTTTCTCGTAACTTTCTGGGATTAAATTTGTATAGAAGGATACCTTAATCGAGAAATTCGTAAATAACTTCTTCTGACTTCGATCAATATATAGTATTTAAACAATTAAACAATATAATTATACTTATATATTGCTATTGGGTTCTATACAGTATTAACTTTATGCATAATTCTCAACTACAATACCCAGAAAAACTTACACCCAATCCGAATGTCCATCAAATGCACCTATATACGTTTTCCTCTGACGCCAAATGTGGCATACCATCCAGTAAACAATTAATCGGAGGGATTGTCAGAGTCTCCTGTACCCCATAAGCATTCCAACAAAATGGATCATCAATCAATTCCCCTGCAAACGGAAACAACTCCACATCCGACATTGTTATATTGGCACAAGCAACACTGTCACTGCAAGCAAAATGAATCGGAGGGCTTCTCACATCGTATGTCCCCTTTATGTTTCTGAAAGATATGTCTCTAACATACACAGCTGACGTTTGGTTAACACATTTCTTGTTTGTACAGTAGTACTGGTCTATAATGGCGCAATTCCTCACATTCTCCATCTGAATGTTCTCGAAAGCTATCCCTGTTACAGATCCGGCCCCACCTTGCCATGTCTTGATTCTAACTCCGTTGTCGGAATCGCGTATTACCACGTTGCGTACTGTTATGTTGGACACACATGCCTGAGAGTTGCGAACACCGAGGCTCCCAATACTGCAAAATTACACAACTAATTCTTTAAAGGTTGATGTGAGTAGTAGATTTATCATGTTTTAGATAAAGGACTTAATGAGATTAGTCTAGATATTTGTTGAGTCCTAGAGGTACTTATCATGTTTTTGATATTTTTTTTAGAAACGTGGAATATTGAATTGTTGGTTAAATGCATGATATATCCACCTACTTTCATTTAAATATTTATTATAGCACCATACTTTCATTTAAGTTGATTTATTACAACATTGTACTATGACCCAAATATAGCATTGTATTTTCAGTTTCTTTTTATTATTACAACATCGTCCTTTGTAACATCTAACAAATTATAGCATTAAATACTATTTTGTATCTGATACCGTCATAGTCTGGTACTTCCTCAAAGTATAGAATAAATAGAAGTATTATATTATAAATAATAAGATATATATTGAAGCCTGCCTCTTATAGGGGCTAGATTCATATCCTAATTAACCAATAATAAAGATAATAGTTAATAATTTATAATTTTAAAATATATAATAGCAATAAAATCATAATTATTATAAATTATAGAAAACCAGTAACTATATTAACTTTTGAGAGTTTTGATAAAATATCGTCGACAATAATAAAATTAAGAGAGATATTAAAATTTTACGTTGTGTCTAAATAAAAAATATTTATATATTTAATTTGTTTCATATAAGAAAAACTATAATATTTAATATGATAAAAATAAAAGAAACAAAATAAATAAGAAATTAAAAGATGTAAAAGAAATAACATGTGAACATTCAAAATAATGTATTAACGAAAAAAAAAGGCACATCCAAAATGAAAAAAACAAAAAAAAAATGGCATATCCATTACATACAAATCATATGAAATCAAATAATATTTTAGTAAGATAATAACTAATTTTAATATTAATTACTTAAATATAGATATTAAAGTTAGTTAAGTATATAACTGTATAATTTAAAAAGGATTATGGTTAGAATATAGTGACTCTAGCTATATCAATTTTGAAATTGCATTCATATTTCTTGCATTTAACCCTTAAACTTCTTCTCCAAAATAATACAGCTGAAACTTCCACATCAAGAGTTGCCATCTATAACCCACCTGATCCCATGGCTAGGTCCACAGATAACACCGTCTATATCAACATTCACACAACCCGGTCCTATTGAAATGCAATCATCCCCTGGAACAATTATTGTATGTCATAAAAACAAAACACTTATTATAAAAATTAAACATATATAACTGATCAAAGCTATAATCACCATATAAAATTCATATATACCATTGCCTATCGTTGAGTTGTAAATGCCAACAGACTTTGTGTTCTGGATATGGATCCCATCGGTGTTTGGACTAAGCTTAGGAGAAGAAATGAACACTTTATCTATCATTACCCCTTCACATCCATCAAACTTCACATGGAACATTGGACTATTTTGTATTCGTAGTCCACTCAAACGCAAATTTGAGCTCATAAAGAACCGAATTAACTGACATACAGACAAGAAATTTAGTTAGATGTCGATTCGTGCATTTTCCCCAACATGTTAATTAATGAAACCTGAAATTATATTTGTACTTACTGTAGGGCTATCACATGGTCCAGGGAATGTTTTTCCACCAGAACCCTGAAATCACATTTATTGCTAAAACATCATATTGATATATACATGTACATGTATAATTAAGTAATTAACCAGGAATATGCTTGTTTAATTTCCCAATATAAAATTACCCGATGAGGTTTGCAGGGGAGGTCCCACCATTGTTGGCCATTGCCATCAATGGTACCAGTTCCAGTCAAACTCATGTTATCAAGTTCATAGAACACAAGCCATTGTCTTCTGCTATCTTTCTTTGGCCAGTTATCTGGTCCAACAGCTGGTGTTAGGATCCCATCTACCTTTTTACATACAAAAACACATTCAATTCAAATAAACAAGTGTTAATTAGTTATGTATATGCGAATGTTTTTCAGTCATAGATCATGCATTTTGAAATATATATATAGAATTTTCTTACTTGAAACACAAGGCCTGGTTTGCAAGGTCCAGAGAATAGTGTGGAAGTTATCATGAAAGTGAAACCGAAGGGTACTAAAAGAGTAGCAGATTCTACTGCACAAGCTGCCTTCCACGCATCAACGAAAGCAGGGGTGTCATCTGTGGAACCATTTCCAATGGCACCATAATTCTTCACGTCAAAAACACATGATGAAACAGAGTTCATTTCATCACCCACGTCTGTTGACGACGATGACCCTTTGTTTTGGTTCTTGTGGAAAAGATATCTTCCTTCCACATTCATGGTGAAAACGAGCAGGGTCAGGAAAATGGTTGAAAACCCATGAAAGATCTTCATTGAAAATGACTGAAGAATATACTTTTAGTAGCCTTAATTTATTCGTGCATAAGATAGGAAGTTAGAAAGAAGAAAAAAAGGGCGTTAACAGTAGGGAACTGGTAGTGGTTTGGCTTAGTGACAACTGACAACACAGATGCAGTTATTTATATTAAAGCTCAGGAAGTTCTCTGATAAAAGATCTCAAGAAGTTTACAGGTGTCATGCCAACAAGGATGTTAACAGGTGTCACCTAAACGTTGGTTTGTACGTGGAAGCTGTGGCTCCCTACCCTCTCCAATTTTTTATTATTTAACTGCATTATTTTTGACATATTTAGTCGACTTAATTGGTCGACCTAATCTATTAAGCGCTCGTTCTAGATTATATACATAAATTTTTATCCGTACCTAACTCCATTTTTAGCCAAATAAACTTGTAAAAGTAATTAAAAAAAATCACTTTAAATTAGAAATTGCATTCATAGATTTAAAAACATACGTTCATAAAACCTTCAAAATAAACTAATTATTAATGGAATACTTGCATGTTGATTAGATACACTACTAGAAAATGAGGCATCAACGACGGAAAAAATCCCTAGCTAATTAGTGATGGATTTACAAGGGCTCAGCGACCGATGTTATTTTGTATGCCTAAGGCGTAAATTTTAGCATGTTATCGGTCGTTGACTTTTTTTACTTCCCTCCCAAATATTTCGCTTCCCCCGTTTGTCCCTCCCAATTATTTTTGTTACCCCATTCTCCCTCCTAAATCGACGCTCACATCTCATGCTTGGTTCTGAAATCCAAAGTCCAAATCGACACCCATCTCCTAAATTGACCCTCACATCCCAAATCAAGTACCGATATTCATCTTCATACCGTTCCTGAAACTTGATTCCAAGAGAAGAAGAAACCCTAGCCAAAACCCTCGATTCCACGACGGCCCTTCCTGCCGATAACGCTTCACCGTAGTAAGTTTCTTAGTCTTTGACTTCTTTTCTTTAGGTAATCTGTTGTTGATTCAATGGCTTATATTCTTGGGTTATTATATGGATTTTTTCTCCGGTTCTACTTTTAGATCTGAGAAAAAACAAAATGAGAAAAAGCAAATGAAAGAGAGAGAAAAATGAACACGGAAGTAGCAGATAGATGAGACCACAACCTTTGATTCTTTCCGACTACTGCATCAACAATCGAGGCTGAAATCCATTGCACCACCGCCTGAGCCTCTCTCACCAAAATCCTAATTCCTCAACACCAAGGTTTTTCTCTCTACCTATCTAACCAAGTGTTTTTGTTTCATAAAAACAAAAGTTGGAGATGTAGAGGAAGTGAAGAACGAGATGAATTTAAGTAGTAAATGTTTTGCTAGTGTTGTAGATTTGGAACTTGGAGACTACCTCCAAAAGAAATTTCATCACTTTCAAGTTTCAATGTTTAGGGTATATCGTAATTTTTTACTTTTATGGAGAAAATAAGATATATATTTATTTTAAGTTTGCATTACTTGTTGCAGAATTATAATGTGGGAAATCTTGCTCATGTGTTGTACAGAAAAAAAAAAAAACTTAGCGAAAGATGTTGTAGATAACTTCTATTGCTACTAGACAAGGATGTATATGGGTGTTTGACAAGGTAAGAGTTTTTTGGTACAAGAAAAAGAAAAGGGTGAAAAGATATTGCATTTTATATGTATTTAATTTAATACAATAAAATGTATTTAATTCAATACAATGGTGAAAAGATAACCTTTTAATGAAGATATTGCATTTTATATGTATTTAATTAAATACAATGGCAAGATAAAGCAAAAATATTGCATTTTAATAAAGAGCTGCAAACTTTTAATGAAGATATTGCATTTTAATGAAGAGCTGCAAAAATATATTGCAAAAAGCTGCAAACTTTTAATGAAGATATTGCATTTTATATGTATTTAATTCAAAACAATGGTGAAAAGATAAAGCAAAAATAGTTTTATAAATTTATTTTACTCTTGCTATATGACTAGTTTAATGTCAATTATACTTTTAAAATCAATTTTACGTTATACCTCTAGTTATACCTCTAGTGACAAAAAAAAATAAATGTTTCTAGACCTATAGTGACAAAAAAAACTGACAATTATACCCTTAAAAGGTATTTTGCTATTAATTGTTGCTAGTTTTTTTATTAAGATGAATATACGATTGCTATTAATTGTTGCTAGATTTTTTCCAAGTTGAAATTATGTTGCTACTATTCATTTTATGTAGTTTTTTTTCAAGTTGAAAGTATGTTGATATTAGTTGAATGATATGATTTAATGTTTAATTAGGTGTCAACTTGGTTATTTTTGCTTTGTAGGTTATTGTTGATCGTAATCGTGAGGAGATGAATGAATAACTTAAGGAGGGACATGAAGAATTTTAGACAAAAAACAAGAAATTGTCAAGATTACCCACCTAACTATACTTTGACATTTTTGATTTTTGTGATTTGGTTTCAATACTTTAAAATCAAATATGAATTTTTATTTTGCTAATCAAATTTTAATATCTATTTTGGAAGTCGAATGTTAATGTTTTGTTTTTGGGTTACAACATTTAAATTACATTTGTGAATTCGTGTATGGAATAGCGACAGATTCGACACCTACTAGACCATTGTTAAAACCAAAGTTGTAAAAATCGTTCGACGGCAGTTCGACGGTCGACTGGTGTTAAGAGATTAATCGGTCTTGGCGGGGATTAATCGGGGACCATAGATTATTAATAAAATATTAAAATTAATCAAATATTAATATATCTTAAGAAAAACAAGCACTTTAAAATTAGAAAATAAGAAAATTTATAATTTGAAAATACGAAAATATAAACATTTTGGTATAATATTTGAAATTTTGAAAATTTGAAAATTTTGGAGTAAAAAAAAAGTTGATTTTTTGATTTTTTTTACAATTTTCAATTTTTTTGACTTTTGTTGACTTTTGTTGACCGATTAATCCCGCCACGACCAATTAATTCTGCCAAATCCGATTAATCCTAAATTTCCGATTAATACCCTAATCCTTGGCGGTCGGAGAACGTCAAACGATTAATCCACGATTAATCGCCGATTAATCCCGATTTCTGCAACCATGGTTAAAACAGAAAAATTGTTCATTTACTTATAATCAGCGACAGACATTAGCGACAGATTAACGATGGTATTTTGAGGTTCCCTGAGTGATTTGTGTCATCACTAATCCTTTGCTAAATCTGTCGTTAATCCGTCGTTGGCTATTAGCGACATGGGTTTTTTCGACTGATTGTCCATCGTTGATACCTCAAATTCTAGTAGTGATAAGAACTTAGTCAAACATGGTTAAGAAGGAAAAGAAATGATTAATTGCACCAAACATGTAACAATCATTCAAGATGAACAAATGTCTTCAAAATCTCCTAAGAACACCCAAAATCTTCTCCTTCTTAATTCTTTGGTTTGAGTTATGCAAAAGAGACATGGCCCAATGTCTTCCAGAACTTAAAAGACGTCTTCTAAACAAAACAAGATGTTGATGGTAATTTTTGATTTTTCATTCTATAAATCATGTTTTACTTAAATAAGTAATCTTAAGAGTAAATTACACGAATCATCCATGTTCCAAGTGTCAATTTGCACGTTCAATCCTTATTTTTGAAAATTAACTTCCTATCGATGTTAGTCGTTTGTTTTCTTCATTTGGGTTCCCTCCGTGCCTAGCATGCAGGGGGTATTTTCGTCATTTCAAGTCATGTGTATATGATCGACTGTGTATGGCACCATATTCGATATAACCAAACATTGCATACCCAGTCCCCGATCAAAACCTTTCTCTTCTCGCAAAAACCCTAGTTTTTTTTGTCAAAAGTGAAGATGAGTGGGTGGCGAGTACGACCACAAATGGATGAAATCGATTTGGAACGCAGTTACGGTAAGGAAGTCCAACCATTTATGCTCTGCTCTTGATTATTTCAACCCCGATTTTGAAATTTTTGTTGTTTTTTTTTTCTTTTGAAGGTGGGAATCCAACTGTTTTTAATATAGCTTCCACTATGGAGGGTAGTTTACTAAATTTCATGGGAGAAAATACATCAAGGGACAGCATAAATTCGTGGACTTGGTCGACATTGATTTGTTCTCGGTTCACGACATTGATGATATGATGGAGGAGTTAGGTTGCGTTGAAGAAGGTAAGATTATGTATTATCACTTTAAACGATCATTAAGGGATTTAGATTTTGGTTTGTTTGCACTAGGTAGTGACTAAGATGCCAAACACTTAAGGTCTTACATTGCTAAACGCAAGCTAATAGAAGTGTATATAGAATTTCGGCATACCAACTTGCATACATATGTTATGTCTCCTAACCCATCAAAAATTAGCATTGAAGAGATTGTTGGACCCCCTTCTTGTTCTAGAAGGTTGTGTATTGAATGGATTGACACAACCACAGTTGAACCCCCTGTTTCTGAACCAAGCATGCAAACCCCTAGTGAAGTTAATCTTGTTCCTGTTTTTTGAATCTAGAATGGAACCTAGCATGGAATTTCCTAGTCACATTGATGGTGCATATGTTTCACCTCCTACAATGGAATCCCTTATTAAATTTGATGTTGCACCTATGACTGAGCCAAACATGGAACCCTTTAGTGAACCCCTTTGTGGATCTAGTGATAGTGAGGGTAGTGAAGATTCAAGTGACTGTGATAATAGTGATTTTTTTTCGATGAGGATAACTTGTTGGATGACCCTAAGTGGACATGTATGATTTCTACCACATTATTGATGATAACTTGGGGTGGGTTGGTAGTACCCTTGTTACAAAAGACAATGTAGTAATGTCTGATGACAAATTGGAAGTGGAGGTGATCAACACTGATGTTCTACAATCTGGATCATCATCTGATGAAGGTCAAATGAGTAAAAGAAGAAACAAAATTAGGGTTTTGAAAGGGCAT